AGACTGAGGACAACAAGAGTCGCGTTAACGAACTTATTCAAACAGACAGGCGCCTAAAAATTCGCGAAATTTGCGAGTCGCTAAACATTTCAAAGTCGACTGTCTATAGGATAGAGTTTGATGAGCTGCACTATTGAAAGGTCTCTGCTTGATGGGTTGGGACCGAAAAAGACCAGCGGGGTCATTTTGCAGCATGGCAACACAACGCCACACACCGCAAACGTCACGAAAGACTGGTTCCAAAGGTTCGGCTAGGAAGTTCTACTACACCCCCCTCACAGTCCTGACTTGGCCCTGTCAGATTATCACCCTTTTGAACCACTGAAACGCCATATTTCTGGACAGCGATTCACCGACGACGAAGACCTCGTGGAAGCCGTGAACGATTTGTTGAAATCCCTTAACGAAAGATTCTTCAGAGAGGGTATCTTCTCCCAGATCCAGCGATGGGAAGAATGTGTCCAGCGGGATGGTGATTACATTGAGAAATAAAGCACACGTTGAGGTATGATGTGTTACAGTTTTATTATAATAGGACAAAGATTTTTGCTTTTACGGACCTTTTCCGGTTTTCCGTGGGACAGCCCTCGTATCCCACAATTCAGACACAAGGAACTGTGGAGATGATTTTTATCGTGTGTCCTGGTCTTTCTGATGGGTCATTGTATCACACTCCGTCCGAGTTTGCGCTGACAGGCAAGGTCAAAACCAGCCTCCTTAATGTCTAAATAGTGTCGGGTGGTGGGAGGGGGGGGGCATATAAAAAAATTACTGAATAGCTGTTTTTGTGTTGATATACTCAACTAGAAAATCTACCTTAAAAGACAAATTCTCTGCTGTCTGATACTGAAATCAGTGGGACTGAAAAGTAGTTGAAGATTGTGGATTTTCAACTTTTGGCTGTGGGTCCATGGATGAGGCAGTTAGTCACTGATTTGATCGGTGAAATACTTTTACTGTTTTTAAAATTTGTTTTCAATGGCAGGTGGTTGGTGAGTACTTCGGTGTGGTTCACTCATTTTTCCTCATCAAACGACGTGGCGTCGGTGGCCTAGTGGTTAGGCTACCGGACATTTTCCTCTCTTCTTTTGTATGTTTGTCACTCTCTTGTGACCTGCTATTTCCGGGTTGCCTTGATAGTTGAAGCAGACCTTGTGCTGTTGAAGCAAGAGAGGTGGGCAGAGTGGGTCTGATTCCCCGTAAAGACTTCTCCGTTGACACCCACCCCTTGGCGCTCATATGACCTTATGCAGTTGCGAGTGCTGTAAAACCCTCTACTATAATAAAGTAAAAATAACTCTCTTGTTACACTCTTTGACACTTATATATGACCTAATTGTGTAGCAAGTGCCGTGCGATTCCTTACTATTTATAACGAAATGAAACAGCTAACTAATGACTTGACGGTTACATTGTTGCAGTGTATTCTATTTTTTGCTGTTGAAAACTAAGTACATGTACATATAAATGGACATAAGTGTTAATGCAAAATATATTTGTTTATTGTTTTTAAAGGAGTACAATCATTTTGAAAATGGATATATTATATATGTATATATATATAAAAGAAGACAGTCTTATGTAAGATTATACAACTGTAATCCCAGATGGCTTGTTTAAAACTGTTTCTACAGAATCAATAAAGATTAATGTGAAATCAACCAGAAAAGTAATACATGTACATGTCAAATGTATTTAAAAAAAATGTTTTATACTTAAAACCAAACCAAAATGGGGGAAATCGACATATATAAGTAGCAAAGCAAATAGATGGGTGCGCCGTTGTAAGATTATACTTTGTTTAAATATTTATTTCCGTTTCATTTTTCTGTTTTGGTATCACTTTAAATTGTTGCCAATAAATGATGTGTCCTAGTTGTTTGCAGACTGTTTCTTGTTGTTGTTGTTGTTGTTTTTTTTGTGTGAAATGTGTTAGTTGCAAGAAATGGAAGCATCAATTAATTATCTACTAGAACTAAAAAAAATAAAATAATGAATGCACTTCTGTAACGATACATTTTTTCTTCTTTTGCACGCAAATGAAATGGAACGATGACAATGCACAACATGAGCTGACATAGCATTGCTTAAAGGGGTATACTGGCATACTGTACACGTGTTAGTGAGTGGTTAGCAGGTGCACTGGTGTGGTTTGTTCCTTTTTTCCTATCAAACATCTATCATCCTTATAAATCTGTGGTCCTTCTATTCTTTGTGTGTTTCTCTCTAGTATGACCTCTGAATTTCAGCACTTATATGACTTATTTGTATTGCAAATACCGAACATAAAACTCTTACTACCCCCCCCCCAAAAAAAACCCCCCCACAAAAAACAAACAAAAAAACAAAAACACAACAAACATTTTAAAAAAATTAATTAAGAAACGTATTTTATTGTTTGGCAGTATCTAGAGTAAAACCAAACAAGGGATTAAGTTAAACGTATAAATCAATCCTAACGTGTATGTGGTTCTTTGGATAAAAGTCTTTCTGTTTCTATTGAAATCTTTTTCGTTTCCCAGAAATCTCATTAAGACTGTAACTATTCTACAGAATGTAGATGTCTTTAACTTAACCTTTAACTTTTAACCTCTTTTGACACAATTTCTATCATTTTGGAGTTGAGCTGCTTTGTTCCTGAACACCAAGGCTGACCCAGACTAAGATATTATAATAGCTCGTTCGTCAATGTTTGTGACAAATACATCCGCAGATAATATTTCTCCTGCAGCTGTTTGACGTACTCATAGTTTTGTTTAAAGTAAATGAGAAAGAGTAGCACAAATCTCAGACTCACTCTGTCACCTAGAAGTACAATGTATCTGATGGCAAGATGAAGACAAGACAACCAGATTAGTATCTAAAGATATAGCAGCTAGTGTTGCAGCAAAAAGATAGGCACAGAGCCTTATAATCATTACAGTAGCCTGAATAGCAGTTCTTTCTATGAAGTTAGTCTGGGTGTATATATTTTCTCCTTCCAGGCTTTTCCATTCAGACTTGTTTATTCAATGAAAGAAATATAGTATCCTCTCATGTGTATGTGTAATGTTGCTTTATAAACTTTGTTATACAATGTTTATATGAATATGCTTTTAGTGGCATAAGATATTTACGAGTCCTGAGACATTCCTTTGATTTAGAACACTTTGTTATATACAGAAAATGAATGTGATCAGTTAGAAAAAATGACATACATTTCCACAAGTCTGTTTATTTTATATAAAATATCCACAAAAATGAGCACAAGAAGGACATCAACGATTCGAAATAACACATGAAATGTCATTCAATCTAAGACATTGCGATTTTATGTCGAAGACGTTGCCGTTAAATCGTTAAGTGCTAATTTTGCGGGTTTTTTCACTGGCCAGAAAAATAAACGATTCTGTGATCTTTACATTGTTATGCTGTTCAGAAAAGTTCCTGTACATGTGTAATGGCAGCCTAGTGTTTTAAATTATTTTTGGTAAGTAATATTAGCCATTGCTTGGAAAGATAATATTTTCCTTTTTAGCCCAAAGTGCTTACATTATTATGCTAGGTTGATCTCTGTTGCAAACCCGAATATATACACGTATGAGGCACTGGGTAGTGGGAATGGATTATACATTATATGAAATAATCAACAATCAAACAAGCAAAAATATTGACCATGATTAAAAGCCAGAACATTCCACAAACTTAAAAAAAATCTAAGTAAACGAATTTTGTATTTTAAAAGACTACGTGGACAATGGATGTTTCATTTCAATTCTAGTAGAATGGGATTTTAGGTGGTCTTCTTCATTTATTTATTTTCCCTGTTACTCGTACTTTTATCATTGTCCGTTCCAGTCTCGAAAATATAGCCTTTAATTAGCTGCCATCCAGTGCGTAAAAAAACGTTTTTTAGTTCGTTTTTAAGGTCTGAGTACGTAAGTACGTTTTTTGTGTTCTGTTTTCTAGTATTGTTCCCGACAAACTTACCGATGCTGAAAAAAAAAATGCAAAACAGGATTTGCGAATTATATAAAGGATGAGGATTGCAGCCCCTAAGTCAATAAGAGAGGCTTGTTCTTTACAAAACATTCCTGACATTACTGTTGCAGGTCTGCTTGGAAAAGTTTGAACTTATCGCATGCAGGAAATGTGTGCGAAAGGTTTGGAAGCAGGTTGTTTGTCTAATCTAATGTTCACCATCTTGACCCGCTGTGTACGTAGTCTGATTTTAAAAAAAAATGGTTTTGAAAAGTTAGTCACCATAATTGCGCTGACTCGTCTTCACTACGACGGCAGCAAACAACATTTCAGCGATTTTTCCACGTTGAGTAAGTTCAGGGTCCAGTGCTTATGCTTACAACACTTTTCTCTGCCGTTCCACATTTGAGATAACCAGCCGGGACTTATTAAACTTATTTTATGTTTTTAAATCTGAAACTGATATCGTTGCATAAAATTAAGAAAACAGTCTTCTAGCTAAGGTGACTTCAATAATATATAATGACCGAGAACAAAAGGGAGATAATAATTCTCCATTTGAAACGATGGCAGTATGGTTATTCTAAATCAAACTCCGTATTTATTAGTTGTAGATGTAGTATTATCAAATCTATAATATCTATAATGTGTTCTTGCACTCAAAGCGTAACGTTATATGTGAAGATGAGAAAGAACGACAAAACAAAACGCTTTACATTTATGTTTGATGACTCTGTTGTTACAGTTTTCCGTCAACGTTTAGGTCTACAGTACAGGGCTTATAACAATGTTAACAATGACAAATTTTTCATCTCACTAAACAACTCTTCTTAAGTGTGGATTTTTACATAAACTGCTTTTCAAACGTGAAATGATCTCGAGTGATTTGAGCAGATGTTGTAGTGTACGTTAATGTAAGAAAATTCAACTCTGCCAAAGTGGAACGTTTTAAAATTGCGTGCTGTGACATCACTCTATAACACCGCCAACCCCACCGCTCCCCCACCCCCTAACCCCCCCCCCCAGCAAACAAACAAGAAAAAACAACAAAAAACTCCCACTAATAAAATAGCGCGTCCAGCAGAACTAACTATAAGAAGCGCAGCCTAAACACTGTACTGCTGTAAGTCAGTGTAGATCTATTTTCAATAAGTTCAATTGATATTCTCAACACATTATTTCGACGTCGACCATAGACTCATCGTATTATTATATATCGCAGTGCGACTTCTTTCGACTTCTTCAAACGTATTCAAATCGCACCGTGTGCGCAGCACCCTCCTCCTTTACCCCAACACTCGTCTACAGTCTTTGCGTGACGTAAGGGGCCGCGGAGTTGTCGTACTCGTAGCCCTTGTTGTCGTTGTTTAAGGTGGGCGGAGGACCGTTCTTGCTGTCCACCACGTAAGGCAGGGCGGTGCCGTTGTCGTCCTCGAAGGCCGCGTTGATGGCCGCGTAGCGTCCTGTGCGATCCTCGGGCTGGGAGGGACCCCAGGTGGACGTGGGCTGGATACACGCAGGCTGTGGAGAAGACCGGGATGGTGGGGGCAACCGGGGGGGGGGGGGGGGGGGTGGAGGGGGAAAGGGGTGGTGAGATTTATTGTATAGAGGTTTAATGTTCCTTGCAACACTGTAACTGTAGTAAGGTTATTAAAGAAACGGGAACTGTGATTTCATTCAACGTCATTCTACCTTTAAACCGAGCCAAATGGAAAAACAACAACAAAGAAACAACAAAGTTCGTGTAAAGTGTCTCTTCCAAGGGCACAAGGTCAGAGTAAGTTGAGCCTTAAACCCTCGAACCTGCGATACATGTACCACTATTATGAGTCCAGAAATCTAATGGGGACCTTGAAAACATACTTAATCTTCAGAAAAAAGGTGCAACGCAATTTTCTTTTTTACGACTTCCTCCTTGGCTCTTCACCAAGGCAAAAATAAAGTAAACCTCACCACACACAATAAATCATGCAGACACACAAAAAAGCACACACAAACACAAAACAACCACACATTCAAAACCGCATTAAAAATCCTCATCAAACAATACCCCAACGCAGCTGTAAGGTGTAGAGCTGTCAAACAAGAAACAAATCCACAATATCACGCCCAACGCCCCACGTCGGGTATCGGTGCACGACAAACTGCGGGTCTTTCCAGAAGAAATGACGATTTTAACTGCTATTCATGAATGTGTGTGTGTGTTGGTGGTTGGCGGGTGCACTGGTGTGGTTTGCTTCTTCTTTCCTATCAAACATCTATCGTCCTTATCTCTCCTTCTTTTTTATGTTTATAACTCTCTTGTAGCACCTCGTTAATCTTCTAGCGCTCATATGGCCTTATGCAGTTGCGAGCGCTGTAAAACCTATACTAAAACTAAAATGAATGTGCGTCATCATATAAATGCGAATATCTATCATTGTTCAATGGAAGTGTACTCACGTAGCCGTATCTACAGAATTGGATGACGCCGACAATAAGGATGGCGAGGATGGGCACGGCGACCATGAGCCAGCCAATACCCTCAGCCCAGGGCGCGAATGTCTCGTCGCCATACCCGGATGTCTCGTACTGGATAGCCGAGACCACGATGATGAACTGGAGAGAGGGAGGAAGATGGGTTAGCCATGTGTGACATCGTGGTGAAATCAAGCGTTCGTTAAAAAATAAAAAGAAATCGACTCCCCCCCCCCCCGAAAAAAACAAAAAAAACCCAAACCAACACAACCCCCCCCCCCCCCCCCCCCCCAGTATTTTTCCGATCGTTCGGCAATTGTTATCTATTTTTTGGTTTGTTTTAGCTCAACACCTTTTGTGTCCATTAAAAAAAAAATTCTGGATTTTACTGACCATCATTGATCAGAAGCACAAAAAACCCCCTGCAAGTTTGCAATTATCAAGGAAACTCAAGCGTTAGGCCTTACGTCAACAAACGTCGACAGCCATTTTCTCGCTAATTTTTACCGCTGAAACCAGATACATGTACACACAAGTACAGATACACACATAGGCCTACTCACATTCTACAGATACGAACACACACATTACAGAAATACACACATACTGATACACACACATACAAACACACAAAAAACAACAACAACAACACACACACATACATTATATATTTAGACAGTGGAAAATCTTGTCAGTATTTCAAAGTGTTAGGCAAGTCTATATTTTGGAAAGAAAACGAAAGAAAATCTGGGAACTCACAATAATGGCAACAGGTGTGAGGAACATCCATGTGACGATCCAGTAGTACATGGGTTTGAATCCCAGCATCATCTCAATGTCGGATCGGAAATTGTTGAGGCCTGAATCAGATTGAAAAGTTTTAAAAATTCATTTTTGTAAATTGAATCAGTCAATCTGTTTGCACACACATGAATATAATCGAAAAAATACAAGCCTGCTTACAAGCTCCCTCCCCAAAACAAACAAACACACAAATAAACAAACAACTAAAGATAAAAAAAGATAAACAAAACGCTAACAATAAAAATAACAACAACAACAGCAGCAGCAACAACAATAGCAACAACAGCAGCACAACCAACCAACAACAACAAAAATCACAATAACCACCAACAAAAACAAACAGTAACAGTCACCACCACCACCTCTAACCAACAACAAAAATAAAAATCCCAACAGCAAGTTGGACCACAAAATATAAAAGAACACACTGATAACAACAAATAAACGATAAATAATATTTCAGTCAGAGTGGAGGGATGATATTATAAATATATTAATTAATATTGATATATAAGGATGACGCCCTTCTTTCGGAAACTATCGTGACGTTTTTAAACTTCATTTTGTGGACTTTTCAAGGCTTTCAACCAGTGCATTCGGAGTTCCCGCCTCTTTAAAAAAACACCCCCCAATAGCGTTGATAGGACGCGGTCCTAATGTGGGTATTGGCGACAGCTCAGGTGTGGTTTGCTCCTTCTTTCCTATCAAACATCTATCTTCCTTATCTTCTTTTCTTTGTGCATAATAATATGTTGCTCTTTAATAACACCTCTAATCTTCGGCACTTATATGACCTGTGTTGAAAGTGCCGTAAAACTTACTAAAACTAAAACTGATACCCTTACTTAATACTCGTAGGTGGTTGGCGGGTGCTCTGGTAGGGTTTGCTTCTTCTTTCCTACCAAACATCTATCGTCCTGATCTCCTTGTCTTCTTTTTTTATGTTTGTTACATGTACTCTCTTGTAGCACCTCTAATCTTCTGGCCCTCCTATGACCTTGTGCAGTTGCGAGCACCGCAAAACCTCTACTAAAACTTTAAAAAACCGTAATACTCACCGTAGACGTAACAAAGGCAGATGATTTCAAACAAGGCTACAACCATCAGATTGTAACTTCCACTGTAGTCGTTCATCAGAGTCAGAACTCGTATACCTCCCTGTGTACGTTGAGAGAGGTGGGGAAAAAAGGACACTTTAAAATATATGTACTTACTCTCTCTCTCTCTCTCTCTCTCTCTCTCTCTCTCTCTCTCTTTT